TGCTGCAGGCGTCGGTGTCCAAAATAAAATCGGTGGTGAAATCGGGAAAAGCCAGTGTGGGGGTATGGAAGAGGTGGTCTTTGAGGATGGTGAAGGCCGTCTGGCAGGCCCCCGTCCACTGATAGGGGTTCTTAGGGGAAGTGAGTTGGTTGAGGGGGCGTGCAATCTCGCTGAATCCCTTTACAAATCGACGATAATAGGTGGTGAGCCCCAAGAATGATCTGATCTCCGTCAAATTTATTGGCCGTGGCCACTCCACCACGGCGCGTACCTTTTCCGGGTCGGTGCGCACGCCTGCCTCACTGACGTGATGTCCAAGGTACCCCACCTCGCGTTGTGCGATGTAACACTTACGTGGCTTGAGCTTGAGATGAGCCACTCTCAGTCGCTGGAACACCTCTCGTAACCTGGACCAATGCTCAGACAAAGATCTACTGAACACTATCACATCATCCAGGTAAATCAAGCACTGTTCCCATTGCAAGCCCCACATCACCAACTCCATCAGCTGCTGGAACGTCGCAGGCACGTTGGTGAGTCCGAACGGTAGTACTCGAAACTCGAATAGTCCCATCGGGGTGGTGAATGCGGTTTTCGGCCGATCCTCCTCTGCCATCTCCACCTGCCAGTACCTGGACGCGAGATCGAGGGTGGAAAAATATTGCGCTCCGGCGAGGCTGTCAAAAGTGTCATCGATGCGGGGTATGGGGAAGGCGTCGCCGAGCGTGACTGCATTCAATTTACGGTAATCGACGCAGAACTGGGTTGACCCATCCTTTTTCGTTACTAGTACCACCGGGGCTGACCAGGGGCTCGCCGAGGGCTGAATTATGTTATCGCGAAGCATGTCCCCAACCGCCTCTTTGATCTGGGCGCGTTCGGGTGCGCCCACTCGGTACGCAGGGAATTTGATGGGTCGGGCTGCACCGGTGTCAATTTGGTGCTTAACAAGGTTGGTCCGACCCACGTCCGAGTCGTGTTCACTGAACACGTCGGCATACTCCTGCAGTAACTCGCGCAGTCGATCGGCCTCTCCCTTAGGTAAATCCGCCCATGGTACATGTAACGCATCGAGCAGGGGAACGACCTCGGCTCGGGGAGTCGGGCCGACTCGCCAGGCCAGGTCTTGGTCACCCTCGGGAAGACCGGTGTCCTCAGCCCAGAGTGCGAACACCGACTTGTCAGAGTGGCGTGTGTGCAGGGGGTGTACGGTGGCTATCGGGGTGCGCCGTCGCAGCATCGCGGAGATACTGTGAGGGTTAAACATCTGCATAAACAATCGGTCCCCGTCTGCATTTACCAACGTGGCGGATCCCACGACCCCACACCGTTTTGCCAACTCCGGGTGAGGCGTTAGCATTACCTCCCCTGATGGTCGGAGCGCGGGGTCGGTAGGGGATGTTGCCACCGGCACCAGCATCTCGGTGAGCGGCCCGATGGTGACTGCCGTCGCCAGGATAGCAGCCACAGGTGCGAAGCGGGGGCGCGTCGGCTCTCGTCTCGGGAACGGAATCCGCTCGCAGCTGCTCTCCATGGTGGCGCATCGCTGGTGGGGTTGCACGTTGAGTCCCAGCTTTTCCAGGAGGTCTGTACCTGCAATACACTCGTGACACAACACACTCGACACGTAGAACTCCTGGGTGCACATCTGGCTGCCTATGCGGACCTCTAGGGTGGCTCTCCCCAGTAGCCCCATTCCGGCTCCGCTCGCCATGTGCAGCGCGCGGTCCGGGGCCTGCAGGCGGCTCACGTTGACCCCGATCATGCTGCAGTGCGCCGCGCTCACGAGCGAGGCCACAGCCCCCGTGTCCAGCAAGATCCGGGTACACATTCCATTTACTTGCCCTTCTACCAGGGACGTGGCCCCCGTGATTCCCGCCACCAGCTCCCGCAGCCAGTCGCCAGGAGTCACCGCTTTCATGGGCGTTGTTGCTGGAACCTGTGTGGGGATCACTTGCTCACCATTACTCTCATTATTGTCTGTTTGTATCGGGACCGCGTCGATTGCACCCCTAGGTGGTCTCCTCTCTAGGGGGGCCTTAGGGTTTGACCTTAGCTCTTGTCTAGCTCGAGCGACCTGAGGACAGTCCCTCATTCGGTGTCCCCATTGGTCGCATATATGGCATGTAGGGGGAAGGGTGGCGGCTCTGTGGCGAGCTCTCTGCCCACTCCCTCCTCCCCCAGTGTGCTGTTGCTCATACTCTGCTTCTAGTCGGGCTATCCTTCCAGTTAGCCCTCCTACCGTGGAGTCTAGTTCCCCCATCTCGGATCGGATGGTCTCAACGGAGGATTGCAGTTTGGTCATATTTTTATTCGCTTCCTCGCGTACTTGGGTTACCCTCTCACCTACTTGGGTTATCATATCTCCCATGCCGGTCTGTAACCCAGCTACCCACCCTGGGGTTGTCTCGCTGGGTCTCGGGGACTCCCTTGCCCGTCCCCTTACTGCGCTGGCGGGCTCCTCCTCGTCCTCCTCCTCGTCTGGGATCAGGCTCGCAACGGTGCACTCTTGTCCCGACCCCCGGAGCTGCGCGCGTTCACTGGAGAGCTCCTCACACTCAAGTGCGCGCTCGACCAGGGTATCGAAGGGGAGGCCTGCACTACCCCTTTTGGGCTGCCACCACGCGGTGCGAGCTAGGTACCTGAGCAGCTTTTCTGCAGCTAGCGCGTCAATGACCTCCTTTGCGAACTCTGGACGGGCGATCCGGGTTAGTGATCACACGTCCTCGGCGTAGTCTCGGAAGTCCTCACCGGGTTGGCATCGGCGCGCCTCTAAGGCCGTCTTTGCCTGTATCGCGTTGCGCGTGCCGAAACGCAGGTCTAATCTATGCATTAGTTCCTCTAGTTGGGTTTGCCCGCTTTCGGGTAGTGCCTCTACAAAGTCGGCTGCCCGCCCATCCAAGTTCAACGTAAGTTGCCGTAACGCCTGCGCGTCCGGCCAGCCATTAAGCTCTTTAGCCCCTATGATTTTGCGGGAAAACGCTTTCCATGTTGGGGTCCCCTGGCTGGTGAACACATGCCTTACCTTTGCGTGGAGTATCGCGCCACCTTCCCGTGAAGATGTGAGGGTTCGTACGACTTCTGACACCATGTTGTTGGGGCCGCTGGCCCCCGCAGTTCCTCCTTGCTGCTCGCCGACGGCAGGGGTTCCGTCGTTTGCCGACCCCTCGCTGTTCTGGGACCAGCTGCTGCGTCGCAGGGTCATCGCCCGACGGCTCCCTTCCCTGGTCCGCCCCTCCGTGTGCTCGCGTGAGAGGCATAGCTCGTCGCCCGCTCTCGTTCACCTGTAAACGCTGCGTTGTCTCTCCGCCAAGCACACGCTCTGAACGGGGTCAGGGGTCGGAGGGCGAACGACGCTGTCCTCACACCGCGTGAGTCCCTGCGGCGATAGACGAAGCGGGTACCTGCGGACACACCGACTCCCCCCCATGCTACGAGCGCACACACCTGCACACAGCACCACGCGCTTTCACCCACTTGTAAGACCACTCGAAGCTGCGCTGGGTTATTAATGGTTTATTCTCAGCGACTGCGCTTTACTGTTGGGTCAGTATCGATCGGCGTGGCAGGCCTACGTTTTCGTCCCTGGGTCTGTACCCGATCTATCGGAGGGATATGATCTAGGCAGCTCTGGACTCTCTAGGCTTCTTCCCAATACCCCCTTTCCACTTACTCACGATTAGGTGCCCACGGCGTTCCGCTGATCCCGTCCCCACTGCGTACCTCGATGCGTCGCATGGACGTCCGAGTCGCTGGGCTGGAGAGCATCTCGTGGCCTGACTCCGGAGCAAGAGAGACCTCTACCTCGTTCCCTCCGCTTTTAATGCGCGGCCTTATTCAAATTATGCTCCTCCATAACCATGCTTTATGCGCAGCGCTTATTCAAATCATGCTCTTCCATAACAATGCTTTATGCGTGGCGCTTATTCAAATTAGTCCCATTCTTATGCCCCTCCATAAAAATGGGTGGTCGGTTTTACCGCGCCGGTGCACGGAGCCTTTGTCATGCCAATTAGCCGTCTCGCTCCTCCTCTGCCTGCCCCGTCGATACACATGTGTGTGGGGTGCGTTTCAACCGCGGTGGCTGAGTAGCCCCTCGCCGCGACCATGCAATCTTAATGCCGGTCACAGCACCGCGGTGCGAATTAGTGTCGGGGGAGGTCGTCCAATTCCCTGGCCGCAGGAAACCGTGAAGATATCCCGGTAAGGGCTTCTCGGATAAAAACCGGTCAGCCAGGTGACCTCCCCTCGGAGCTCTATGGGGGGAGGGGGGAATGCGTGCGGGTGTGTCTATGTGAGGTGAGGCGAGGGGGAAGCGGGGTTGGCTCCGTCGCTTGGTGGTGGCGAGGTCGCAGATGGAGCGCCCGCCGAGCGGCTTCGTGGCGGAGGCATCACATAATCTGTGTGGGTCTACATACACCTGTGTGTGTGTGTAGACCCGCGTGGTAGCGACGCTCCCCCGCATAGTGACGTCATATAAGTGCGTGTGTGTGTGTACACAGTAGTGATGCTAGAGGTCACTACATAACCATGGGGAGAAGAAACTCCAAATATTCAGGTGTCACGGTCGGGATCAAAACCACGGCCAGCTGTATACCAGGCAAGTTACATTAACATCTCGCGGCGCCTTTCTCCCCACTACTCAGAGCCCCACCCACTGCTCAGGTAGCCCCGCCCACGACTCAGGTGGTTCCACAGGCTTCGTCTCCTGCGTGTGCTAAGCCAAGTATATGTATGCAGAACTTATTTCGCACCAAAGTAGCAATCGTGCTCATCGGAGGTGCGGGGGAATGATAACTAAACACAAAATGATCCAGGAGGCGTTTAAGCTCCTCGTGAAATCGGTTCCCTGCTGCGCTGGCTCCCCGAGCCTCCATTGCTGCACAGGGGCCATTGCAGCCTGAGATGGGACCGTCATTGTGGAGGGGTCCATGTGGAGCGGGAGTGAGAGGTGGCGCTCATGGAGTGAGTAGAGTCTCCCCTGGTGACGTCTCTTACAGAAACAAGTGGGAGAGGAGACGCGGGTGGTGGAGGAGAAGAGGAGGAAGGTGGAGGAGTCCATAAAGCGGATGGAGGCCGCTCGCAGGGACGTGCAGGTACCGCGTCTGGACCGGACCCTGTGACCTCGTAACTCCACCCTGAGTAGGGTTTGTGATGTAGGACAACTCCATTAATTCACGTGGACTTTCATTGGCTCTGAACACATCGTGAGACTAAGACACAACCGTCAATGCACCTCAACACCCAGGACAAAGCAAATAAGTGGTTTTCATCTCCAATAAGGAACTGAATCAGTTGTGGAAATTCCACATTCTTAAGATGGGAGACCAATATTCCCATGTGAAATGCCACTTCATCTTCTGTTATATATATATCTATTCTGGCCAGATGAGGTGGCACATACCTGTTATTCAGCACACTGGTGGCAGGGTTCACATTATAAATACGTTTACAATATGTATCGCATTGTGCTATGAAACCAAGTCACCTAGATCAACTCCCAGCGATGACTAACATCAATATCGAGAAATATCTGTAAATCCACAACCACGCAATACACTGAATGCACGCAGTGTGCTTTGTGCAATGTCTTATTCACGTAACCTATTCACATAGTATCCTCCCATTCAGTATATTGCAATGTGCTATGTGAGCAGTAAAGTTCATCACCAAGTTGCATGTCCAGTTCTCATCGGTGCACCGATCTTATCACTGCTCAGTCACAAAACCCAGCTCTCGTGTCTAGTCCCAGCTGGGCTTGTTTTGTGGCAGGAATACAGCTTGGAAGTGTTGCTGATCAGGCAGCTTCAATTATGACATTTTGCTTTGTCAATCAACTCGCATTACATACACCTTTGCGCAACTCTACAAAAAGATGGGGTTCATATTTAATTATTATTTAAATTCCTTATTTTTTTCAGATTTGTGATGTAATATTTGCGATTGAGTCCTGTGTAATTTGCAGGGTTATGATAGGTGACAATTGTATTGTTCATTGGCGACCGAGGCCGTGATGCACAGGAGGGGTTCATCCTCTATCAGGTCACCTGGGTAACAGGTCAAAACGTTTCCCATACTGTGGGTTGCATGGCCAGGTGGCAATACTGTGGATTGACGTTAATGCATCTCTGTGGGTCTTGTTGGGTCTCTATGTATCTCTGAGTGTCTCTATGGGTTTAGTATACAGTCCATAGTTTGGGTTGTATGACCACAGTCACACTGCCGTATATTGACTGAAATGGGTCTATATGCATCTATATTTGTCTTCATGTGTCTCTGTTTCTCTATGGGTCTCTATATCTGAGTCGCTATATCTCTATGGATCGCGAAGTATATCTATGGGTCTCTATAGGTTAACTTTATTGCCCATAGTTTGCATTTTGTGGCCACAGACGCTTTTCCATTGATTCAGGAAAGAGAGGTGTAAACACCACCTTCCTAAAATATAGATCAACCATTCACAGAGAAGATAATCATCTTATCTGTGAATTATTTAATAAATCAAACCACACGTCCTGCCAGGGATCGATGACCGGGGTGAGGCAGCGAATCAATGGCGAATTCGCCCGCATGAGAGCAGCTCTGGACGAGGACGAGAAGGAGCGCGAGCTGCTGACCCAGATTGAGAAGAACATCGCTCACTACCAGCGCGAGATCGGCGAGCTCCAGGCAACAGCCACTCGCCTGCAGGCCCTTGCGCAGGAGAGGGACTCGTTCACGTTCCTGCAGTTGAACGATGAGTCTACAGTGTCGCTATTTGCACAGAGCCATCGGCAGCGTCAGATTTGAGGCTCCTGAATGAGGTTTTCACATAGACTGCGCTTTGTCATGCACAGCCTGAGCTTCTGCCCGGTCCTTACATTGTAACTCAGTGTTGGTGCTCATGAGGTCATCAGCCAAGACTTTGTGGTGTATATTCCACCCGCGGTGTTGCAGTGGGAAATCCACTGATCCCATGGGAATGGAGGCAGAGTCACAGTAACGCATCTCTCTCTCTCTCTCCCACAGGGGCACCTGCAGGAGACGCACAGGTACAGACGACGATCACTCACGATTCGACACACGACAACATGGAACTGAGTGTGAGGCGTGGGCAGTGAGACACTGGCTGGGTATGGGGATGCTTTGTGTGATGATGCTGTCTGTGGTGAAGCTGTGAGTGGTGGTGCTGATTGTGATGATGCTGCGAGTGATCATGCTGTATGTTGTGATGCTGTGAATGATTGTGATGTGAGTCCTGATGCTTTGTGTGATGTGTGTCTATGTGATGGAGCTGTGATGATCCTATGAGTGATGTTAATCTATGTGTGAAAGTGGCCGTGTCTGATTTGCTTTCACAGGACAGGGCGGGCTACAGCAGCTCCACCCTCAGCTCCTAGCCAAGAGGACATTGCATCACTTAAAGGCACCGAGGGAACTGTGGCTAAATTCCTGTGTGAGTTATTCAGTGTGAAACATGGGTGATGGTGCCATCTTCACAATAAATGATCACCGTGTGTGTGCACGAGGTCGATTCAGCCTAAAATAATTATCCAGAGTTGTGTGTAAACATCACTACTAGGGAGACAAAGGTGACCAGGCATAGTGCTTGCCACCCAGCCCCTCATGTGTCGTGCCAGCTTTCAAAGGTGCTGATTTGCCCCAACAGTCTGTTAAGGCAACACGGGGAATATTTATCATTGTTTACATCATAGAGCTTGATGTGGTGTGAACAAAATCGCCACTAGGGAGACAAAGGTGGTCGGGCGTGGTGCTGGCCACCCACTTTCCCGTGTGCCGTGCCGGTCTTCATAGATGCTCGCTAACAGCACTTGCGCCAATGGTCTGTTTAGGCTACTGTTGGGGCCTCTGGTCCCCGAAGTCCCTCCCTGCTCCGTGCCTATGGCAGGGGCTCTGCTGTTCGTCGACCCCTCGCTACTCTGCGAGCAGCTGCTACCGTCGCTGGGCTCATCGCCCGACGGCTCCCCTCCCTTGTCAGTCCCTCCGCGAGCTCGTGTGAGAGGCATAGCTCGCCGCATGCTCTCGTTCACCTGTAAACGCTGCGTTGTCTCTCCATGAATCACGCGCTATTAAACGAGGGTCAGGGGTCGGAGGGCGAATGACGCTGCCCTCACACTGCGCGAGTCCCTGCGGTGATAGACGGAGCTGGTACCTGTGGGCGCACCGAGCCCTTTCCCCACGCTACGAGCGCACACACCTGCACACACGCGATACCCACTCGTGCGCCGCTCTACTCAGCGCTCCCACATGACGAGCCACTGTGTACACAGCACCACACGCGCTCCCACTTCTCAGCGAGATCACACGGAGACACGGGCAGCTATTAAGGATTTATTATTGTGCTACCTGGAACGGGTTGTTGAGTCAGTGTGAATCGACGAGGCTGGCCTATTCTTACACCCTCGCACCTATTCCCTATTTATCGGCTATGATCCTACTTTTACCTCCTTACTCACCATTAAGTGTCCACGGCGGTCCGCTGATCCCTGTGCTAACAGCGTACCTCGGTGCGTCGCATGGACGTCCGGGTCGCTGGCTGGAGCTGCGTCTGGTCGCCTGGCGCTGGAGTAAGAGAGCGATTTCCCCTTTGCGCCCCCTTTTTATCCTCCCTACATCGAAGGGATGCGGCTCTCAGTCTTTCCTTAACAATGGGCTCGCGCCCGCTAGCACGCGCACGGCGGTTCCGGGCGCCTTTGATATGCTAATCAATGTGCGGCGTGCGCGGCGTAAATTCTAATTAATCCCTTTCTCACGCAGGCCTTTATTATTGCAGATTATGCGGCGGGGTCCATCACAAAGGCTCACCGTGGGAATTTGTGCACGGCTCCCCGCGTGCCTCCCCTCTCCCGATCTATTCATACCTTCAGCTTAATCCTTTACCTTCCCTAACAATGGTGCCTGCGCGCTCAAGCGTAATTATCCTAACCATCCGTGACTATGCGCAAGAGCCCCTGCGGTCCCGCTACTCAGGCTGTCCCGTCCCTCCCCTGCTTGCCTCGTCGACACGTGGGTGGTGTGTGTGGGGGATGCGTTTCAACCGTGGTGGCCGAATGCCCTTCGCCGCGGCCATACCATCTTAAGGCCGGTCGCAGCGCCGCGGTGCAAAGTAGCGTCGGGGGAGGTCGTCCAATTCCCTGATCGCCGGAAACCGTGAGAGTTAATCCCGATAAGGGTTTCTCAGTAAAAACCGGCCGATCAGGTGATCTCCCCTTCCAGCTCTATGGGTGGGGGAAAATGCGTGCGGGTGTGTTCATGTGAGGTGAGGTGAGGGGGACGCGGGGTTGGCTCCGTTGCTTTGTGGTGGCGAGGTCGGGGGTTGGGCGCCTGCCGAACGGCTTCGTGGCGGCATCACACTACACAGGGGATCTTAGTCTTTGTTCACAGCCCATTCAAGGACCCTACTGAACACAGCCACGAGAATAATTGTGGCGTTCTTTGGTAAATAATCAGCATTACGAGTCAGGGGTAATTGTTATGTTGAGATGGAGTGTGTACCTGTGAATGTGTCGTTGCATTTGTGCGTGGGGGGAGTGGTGGCATAGTGGTTAGCACACTGCACTACGAACCCAGTTACCTGGGTTTGATTACCCACCATGGCTAACATCAGTGGCAGGTTATATCTTATCCAGTTCTGGGACTCTAGGAGGCAGTTTCAACCTGTTGCATATGTCGGGTTTCAAAATTTTAATAAAAAAAAAAAATGTATTGAAGATTGGAAGAATGCATGTTTATCGGGAACTATGCCAATTTAAATAATTATGCGCATATGTTATGCTAATCAGTGAGATAATCGTACTAATTCATGCGAATGTGCACGCTTATGCTAATGTGGACAGTTATGATAATTAGCTTAGCTTTGTTGTAAAGGGTCCAAATCTCAATCAGAAGAATGCAATTATTCTTGCTTAAACATTTACTGGTTATCTTTAGTTTATCATAGGTCTCCGAATTCAAATCTCAACGCAGGATACAGTTCTTATAAATAAGATTATTATGCATGGACTCAGGAAGGAAGCACTCAGATCTTCTGTGTTAAAAAATTTTATTCTAAACAAAACGCAACATTTTAACATGCGAACTCACAGGCTTGAAATTATCCACAGTATCATCGGGGAAATCCCCTCAGTGATCAGTACAGGTAACCATCCATGATTGCGTTGTTATCTGTGCAATCAACAATGGAACAATTTCATTGAGTGACACGCGCGAATACGACAATAGGGAAAGTCTTAAAAATGCATGCAACCATTTCATAGGAAGGCAATCAAAGCGAGTTATTATATCACGACTAATGTACTTCTTATCACTAGAGGAGCAGCGATGCCTTCACGACCAGTAATTATTCATTCACACTTATCAATCTTCTCATTATTGGCTCAAATTGGTTCCAGGTGAGGCGAGAGTTGGATCGTTTCCTTGGTAAATTCTGGTCACTCTTTGGTTCTTTCGGTAAAGTCACGTATAAAGATAAAATAAATTAAATAATAGCATACGACGTTTCGATTGCAACACAAGCAATCATCATCAAGTATAATAGAAATAGAAACAAAAAATCTAACCAGAAAACTATAGACAGACATATAAGCAGACAGATATCATCAATATACATAGAGAGAGAGTAACACAGGCACAGAGAGGGAGATCGTCTCTGTGGCGAGGACTTAAATAGACAGAGGTGGCGCACGGTGGAGCACGGGGGCGTACGGTGGTGCACGATGGCGCTCGGTGGAGAGATGCCTCCCCGGTCGGTGCCGAGTTCGCTCAGTGGCGATTGGAGCTGCTGTTCGCTCTGCCACCCAGGTGGAGAGCGGTGTCGGTCGTCTTCTGCTGGATTTCTTCTGCTGGATTCTTCTGTGTCGGTGGTCTTGATGTACGGTGTGTCTCTCTTTTTATCCACAAAAAATCACTCAGCTTGACATGCCTTCTTTCAAAAGACCGGATTATTTCTTTGTTTTCGTTCGTTCGCTTGTGGACACAGCTGCACGCGTGTGTGTATGTTCGTTTGTTCCAGTTATTGGGGGTGGTGGTTGCTTTCTCATGTCATCTCGCCCACAAGGAAATGACTCCCAGATGTCCCTCCACGCGGGTGGGGGTGTGCCGGGGACCTTTGTTTCACCGAAGCCCTCAAGTTTTCCCGTTTCTGTTTGGAAGTTAGTATAAAAACTCGCTTTACCTCGCATAATTTATACTTGTGGCTTAGATTTGTAAGTGACACAAGGTATGTAGTAGTCGTTTTCAGTATTTCCATCGTGGTTTAATTTCTTATGGGAGGATGTCCCTTGTTTATGTGTGCAAATCTTGCTATCCGTGCTGCGGGCAGAAAGACGGTTGGGAGGCTCTTTCCTTCGTTCCACAGCCTGTGCCCTGGGTTGTGCGGTTTTTATTCTCGAGTTATTATTATTGTCTGTCATCCCGAGGTTAGATCATTATTTAGGTCAGGTCGTGTAGATAAAGATAAAATACATGGCATTAGTATTGAAATAATGAATGGGAAATAATAATCCCCTGATGTAGATTGTAGCCTGGTTCTTAATTGGAGTGTGAGGCGTATCACGATATTGCGACTTAATCTTTGTTGCTAATTTTTCTTGTTTGAACTTTTAACCGATCATGGAAGACATGAAAGTTACAACCAAAACTCTCCGCTGGTACTTTGGGGGGGGGGGGAGGGGGGTGTGTGTGTGCATTTGTCTCGCCTTGGAAGTTGTATGGCCTCCATGTGGCAGGGAGACGAAAGTGGCCAGGGAGGCTTCCTCTATGGGATGTTATTAATTTCCTTTGGTCCTGTGAGCATGGCCATTTCTTCATCCCTCCTGGGTGACCTTCGATCTAATACTTCATGATTAATTGGTTTATGTTTTTGGATTTTTTTTGTTAAATAAGACCACGAAACCCGTCTGTTCGCTTTTCGCTTGTGTTGCAAAAACCACCTCTTTCTCTCCTTTGTACGGGGGGATGTGTTGTTTGCCTTTGACCGGACGTTTCCGTCGCGGGAGGGATGTGTGTCCATTTGTCTCGCCTTTGAAGTTTTATGGTCTCCATGTGGCAGGGAGACAAAGGTGGCCGGGGAGGCTTCCTCTGGTCCTGTGAAGTTGGCAAATTCCTCATCCCTCCTGGGTGATCTTCGCGATTGATTAAAAATATTTTTGGCAGAATTATCCTTAATATTTATTCTTGGAAAAAGGTTTACATATACAACAAACCTCAATTGAGTTCCTGATGCTGGTCATGGTCATAATGATGGTGATGTTGGTCGTGATGAGGATGGTGGCAATGATAGTGGTGCATCGGCCAGTCATCTCAGTCGACCCATGGCACCTGGGTCTGCCCCATGATCTCCTGCCAGTGGGTGTTTTACACTTCACGTGGCCTCAACGTGCAAATAGCCTGGCACAAGTGCTGTGGTGACGTCACCGCCACTTAGTAGCGAATGGTGGTTGTTGCTGTTGGTAATTATCCTGATGTAAGTGATGGTGTTGGTCGTGGAGCTGCAATGGGTTCTCCTTTATCTCCTGCTATAGCCAATCTGTACATGGTGAACTTTGAAACAAGAGCACTTGCCTCGAGTACATTAAAACCATCCTTTTGGTTTAGATATGTTGATGACACTTTGGTCGTCTGGCCACATGGTAAAGATGCACGTAATGATTGTCTAAATCATCTTAATGCACAAAACCCAGCTATCCAGTTCACCATGGAAATGGAGGTGAATAACAGACTCCCGTTCCTAGATATTTTGCTGGGACATAGTCTTAATGGCAAAATAACACGCAGCGTTTGCCGAAAGCAAACGCACACTGACTCGCATCATCACCCAGCTCAGAAATCCTCTCTTATCAAAAAACTCATACATTGGGCTAAAACAGTGTCAGGTGGTGAGAGTCTAGTGAGAGAGATTAAACATGTTAAAGAAGCACTAAGACAGAATGGCTACAATAATGCTCAAAATAATAGAGCACCGAAGGCCAAATCACGAACGCAAAGCAACACTGCTGAAAGCGATAAGATTGTTCAAACAATTAAAATACCATACATCTCAGGAGTAATTGACAAATTAGCCCGGGTTTTGCAAAAGCAAAACATTAAAGTAAGATTTGGTACAGTACACAAAATAAAAAAAACTGGTATCTGGCACTAAAGACGAATTGCCAAAATTATCAAGAGAAGGTGTATATCGGATTGTTTACGAGGCAGATGCTCTATCGGACAGACAGGACGCAACAACTGTCGGCAGTAGCAGAGCATGCTTGTCAACAAGGACACTCAATTGATTTTGATAACGTTGAAGTGTTGTGTAAAACGAATTATTACTGGCCAAGACTAATTAGAGAATCCATTGAAATGGAAACAGAAATAACTTCAATCGCTCAGCTACAGGCTTAGTGCAGCCTGGAAGCGTATTATTAATTAAATACAATTACAATTCCTTTATAAGGGAAACACATACCGATGAATAACAATTGAACGATTACCAATCTATATATTTACAATACCCTCCCCCTCTTTGCCTCGAATTAAGACCGGAAGCAACAGGAGAGCTTCACCATTCTTGCCCAATGAAGCTCATTGTAATTATCAGTGAAATGTCGTACTCAAAGTTTTTAATGCTGTTGATTCTCTCTTCAACACCGGTGGGCTAAAGAAGTGAATTATTTTGTCCTTTGAAAAACGTGACACATTTTTTATTTTTTGGCCGTGTCGGGTGGTGGAGGGTTACGACACATTTATAAATAAGGCGATCGGACCCAAAAACCTATATTGTGAATAACATTGGTTGCGAAAGCCTACGTGTTAAAGTGATGTTCATAGTGTTGATGGTGGTGATGATGTATATGTTGTTGTCATCGATGATATTGATGGCGAGAATGGTTGGTGATGGTGATGTTATTGTTGATGGTGAAGATGATGGTTGGTGATGTTGATGGTGGTGATGTTGGATGATGATGACAGTATTCTGTAGTGATCTTGTCATCGCTGTTATCACAGACGGACGCTCACCGACTCTGGACACAAACTCCGCTTATGACCAACTCCAAATCTCCTCGGATCTCAGGATGATGACGCGGACTAGTGACTTCCAGGGTCACCCCGATCACCCACACCGGTTTGATTGCTGTGCACAAGCCCTGTGCTGTGAGAGCTTTTCGTCGGGCCACCACTACTGGGAGGTGGACGTGTGGGACGCGGAGTGGTGGCGGGTTGGAGTCGCGTACGGGATGGTCCCACGGAAAGGGGGTGGTGCTGCACAGCTGCTGGGAGGGAACAACGCGTCCTGGTGTTTAGAGAAATATGACGACAACTTCTCAGTCGTTCATGATAGAGTGAAGACTGCACTGTTGGTTAGGGGGGCCCCCTTCCTCCGCAAAATCGGGCTTCACCTGCACTGGGAGGGGGGGCTCCTGGCGTTTTACCGCGCCGACTCCATGGAGGTGATCCACGAGGTTAGGCAGAGATTCTTGCAGCCTCTCTACCCTGCGATGTGGGTGGTGTTTTGTAATGATCGATTGAAGATCGTGGATCTGAGTCGTGCATGCTGAGGATGAGGAGAGCAAGAAACCAAGACAGAACCCCAAGAAACAGAGGGGGGATGGTGAGGAGAGGGTGAGTTGAGGGTGAGGGGAGAATGGAGGGGAAGGTGAGGGAAGGTGGCGGGTGAGCGTGGAAGGGTAGAGTGAGTGGGGAGGGTGAAGTTCAGGTTTGCGTGCGTGAGCGATGTCGCTGGTGCAGTAAAAATCGCAGGTTCGTGTGGCCGCTCCTCCACCTGCACGTCACCATGCCTCCTCATCCCTGCGATTCACCAACATCATCATTATCATCACTGTCATCATCATCTCCCCATCATCATCACCATCATCACCCCATCATCATCGCTACCATCACCACCATCACCACCACTATCATCACCCAATCATCATCACCACCATCAATACCACCAGCATCATACTCATCATCACCATCATTACCAACAGCATCACCATCATCATTACTATCAACACCACCTAAACCATCATAATCACAATCACCAACATCATCACCAACATCATCACCACCATCATTACTATCATCATAACCATCATCCCATCATCATCATCATCATCACTATCATCAGCAACATCATCATCAACATCATTATCCCCATCATCACCACTACCACGAACAACACCATCACCACCATCAACCAACCATCAACACCACAATAATTATCACCATTATAACGTCCATTATAATCATTACCTATCATCACCACTATCACCATCATTATGACCATCATCACCATAACCATCATCACCACCATCAACATCATCACCACCATCATCACAATGACTGTCATCACCACCGTCAAAATTACCATCACAATCACTGTCATCAACACCGTCAAAATTACCATCAGCATCATCACCATAAATACCACTACAAACACCACGATTATGATCACCACCATCATCATTGCCACCACCATGATCACCACCATCATTATCATCATCACTATCAGCACCCACATCACCATTTTTACCACCACCATCACAATAATCACAATCATCACCATCATTACGATCATCAACACGACCATCATCATCACCATTATCATCACTATCCTCACCGTGAAAACCACCATCACCATCACTCTCATCACGACCATTACCACCATCTTCCTCAGCACCATCATTACCACCACCACTGTCATCATCACCACCATGATCATTATCATCATTGAGTATCATCACCGCCCACATCACCACCACGATTATCACCATTCTTACTATAATCATCACAACCATCACCACCGTCATCACCACCATCACTACCATCATTACTTCCATGATCAACACCACTACCATCATCGCCATTTCACCATTATTACCACCACTATCACCATCATCATGGTAACGTCTCTGTAACATATTTGTAGTTGGGCTGTTTTTAGGTTGATTGTGTTTAACCGGGGCGAGAACTCAAGAAACCAGAATAGGAGTCTCATTTGTAAGAGTGAGTAGAATGGGGAGTGAGTGCTTGGGTGAGTGAGTTGTTGGGTAAGTAGATAAGTAACAGAGATTATGGGTAATTGAATGATTGATTGGGTGAGTGAGTAGGTGGGTAGACGTGGGAGATGATTTGTGAGTGAGTGAGTGCATGGGTGAGTGGATCGGTGGCGTGCTTGAGTGAGAGAGTATGTGATTGGGTACATTGTTGAGTGCATGAGTGAGTAGATTAGTGAGTGAACGATTGAGTGCATAGGTGAGTGAGATGGTGGGTGAGTGAGTGGCTGATTGGGGCAGTGGTTAACTTAGTGAGCGAGAGGGTAGGTGAATGTGTAAATGATTGAGTGAGTGAGTTCAAGTGTATCGTCTGTAATCGGGTGTAGAACTCGAGAGACCAGGGCAGGAGTCTCATTTGCAAGAGTGATCTGGGGCTGGGGGGGATCTCCAAAATAACAAAAAAGACAACGTGAGCACAGGGAACAATAACGAAGCAAAGAGAAGTTAGCTGACTAAAACAACAACTACCACCGTGTTACAGGCGGTACCGGAAAAAAAAGAGCGCCCCGAACAAACTCCCAATACTGCAAGGGTGGAGACAGCGTCTGTCCACCCAACTCACAGTCGTGTCCACGTGTTTGGGGGCTATCTCGTCTACCCAGGGCCACCCGTCGCGACGTAACGATGACTCCCACAGACAACCCCGACAGCCCACTCCTCCCGGTCCTCCCCCACCACGGTTCCTGGGTTTGTCGTCACGGAAGCAGACCGGATGCCGCTGAAAGCTGCGCAGGGTGTAATGTGTTCAAAGCGGCTAACCCGCCGGATCATTCGGGCAGCTGCATTCTGCACTAACTGGAGCGTCTACACCAGTCCAAGTGGAAACTCTGCATAGATAATCCAGGTGTGTTGAGTCAAAGGCATGAACTAATGATTTGCGGTCTGGAGTAGAAAGGAGCGAGCACAACCCTCGAAGTGTTTGTAGGTGGTAGAGATCTACTCTGAACGTAGCTATGAGCTGCAAGCACACGGTCAAGCTCTGATCGAACAGCACCACCGAGGTTGCCTACTTTGGACACACGGAGAGGGTGAGCTTTGCTAATCAGTGGAGGATCGATGTGGCCTTGCCACGCTCGCAGACGCTGCTCTGAGTCAACTATCACGTACTCTGTCTTGCCCAGGTTTAGCTGCAGCCAGTTGCGCTTCAGACAAGCATTTTGGAAGGGCAGAAATTGCGTTGTCTGGATCTGACATACATTGAAAACAAATTTCTTGAGAACTGATTGCTCTGTTTAGGTTTTTGTTCCCTTACAGCACCTCCGATTAGCACGGTTGGCTATGTACGGTACGAAATAAGTTCAACATATATCCATAGAATCTGAATCCGCATCTTTATTTAAACTGGAGGTATCCAATGAGCTATGAAGCTCTTTTTCAAAGATGTCCAGTAGAGGCAGGTCATAAAGTTACAATAACAAACAGTCCAGACAACTGATAGGGGTGTGAAATATAGGAAAGGTGTGCAAATCACTAAAACTAGATAAATACTACTTAAACAAAGTATATAACTACAATTTGTAATCGTATATTAATTCCTACCGATTTTTCAACACTAAATGCAAGCGTGAGCAAGGCAGTAACACCACAACAACACGGCAGTCCCTGGACACAACTGCACGTGAATATTGAACTATTGATACGTGAGTATGGATCAACGTTCCAATCACATTTGAAAATGGGTCTGTGTACAGCATGAATCATCTGCTTCAGTACATTTATTGAAGATTCATGATGTTAAGGGAGGAAACAAGGTTGTTCCAAAACGTTGATGCTGCAACAGCAAAGGCTTTGTCACCCATTCCAATTCTCGTTGTGGGGATAGTTCACAGAAACATAGATGGACGTCTTAGGTTTCTTTGGTTGGACAGTGGACTTTATGATTTAGAAAATTAAAGCACAGATTTGCCAATAAGGGTTTTATGGATGAACAGTGCCCAATGTAGATTTCGATTTAAAGCTTTCGTGACTGCAGGGATTCATCTTCTTGGTTCTTTCGGTAAAGTCACGTAGAAGGGAAGTAATAAAATAATAAAAATAAGCCATCTGGCTACCATGAGAGATTCGTTCATGAGGCGATCCACATATACAAACACAGAGACAATTTCAACCGAGAAGATGGATTCCGGCTTAGCAATCATTGGAAGGACGTAATAAACCATTTCGGATCTTAACTGATTGTGTCCACGTTTACGGTGACTTTCAGACCGCGTTCCACTCACTGACATTGACTATATATCTTGTATTCTCCGCAGGGAATGGATTCTTTGCTCCACTGCAAGCTTCCTACCACCACTCTCCCATTGACATATTTCGTTGCTTCCTCTTAGTACCTTTCACGTGACGGTCAATGGTATAGTGTATAGCATATTGTATAATAATAATAAATAGTATTAAAGTGTAATGTTTAATACAATGTATAAGGTAATATATAGTATCGTAATTGTATAGTGAATATACAGCAGTGTGGTATACAGTTGGGTGGGTAGAATAATACATAGTGTAATATTACACTATGTATTATTCTAAGACCTAGGGTAGTGTATATTAATACAGTATACAATTTAATGTTGGGTTTGTCTATAGCAGCATATAGTATGGGATAGACCCGTGTGATGTAAGGAAAAAGTTTAAAAAGTTTAGCTGGAAGCATATTATATTTTTTGCGACCTATAATTGTAATGTATTACTTACGGTTAGTAGCTCAGCTTATTGAGAGTATATTTAGCATACTGATGATACTATGTAGTTTATACTTTAGCTTTTTACGTGGTTGTTTAGTTACTGCAGCTACATACTATTAACACTCCTTCCCTTTATTAATGCTACCCCTACCCCCTCCCTTTGATGCTGCTAATCCTGCATAATGCATGGGCATAATATGACTTTGAAAACCCCCCGCCCACCTCCCACGCATTTCACAATTAGCACTAGTTGCATTCCTGCATTTCCCATAAATATGCTAAATTCCTCTTCATATGCAAATTATTTTGTCAAGGCGCTCTTCCTCCTCCCTCCGAGCTTAAATAGACGCTCCAAGCCTAGGACGTGTCATTCAGACTGTCTTATCGACAGACATGTTCTTCACCTGAGGACGGCTGCTTGCGTTGTGGCCGAAACGTCGTGAGAATTATTTTATTATGTTTTATTATTTTATTACTTCCCTTCTACGTGACTTTACCGAAAGAACCAAGAAAATGTAGATTTCGTTTAGCATCAAGTGATGCGAGATGTTATTTGAAGTCGAGGTCACATTTGTGGGTCCTGTATGGTACATCCAATACAAATCCAAGATCAGAATGATGAATAGGGTTTAGTTTGTTAAGTGTTAGATTAGTAGCTGATGTATACGCAGCATCACCATAGCCACCGTGCCTTGTTATTTAAAAATTTGTGGACGAGATGTTACCACGATATAACTTTTTGATAACAGTCTGAGATGTATCTCTGAAATCATTTTATCGTACAGTCTGACTGTGTCTTGTGAGTAGAAAATCATGGTCAAGAGTTTCAAAAGGCTTTTGACGAGGATACAATGCCACGTTACAGACAAGAAATGACGATGTCGTTAATTTACGCGGCACAGCCGATGGTGGTGTACCTCGACACATCTGTCACTTCTCCTGCCCAAAGGAGACTAACTTAACCCATGATTCATGAACGCATTTAACAATAACCCTGGAATATGCTCACACAGCAGAATGGGGAAGATAAGGAGGCGTGTCAAGATGGAAACATTTCACATATTCAAGGGCCTCTCCATGGACATGGATAGTCGTCGCTATTGTCACAGATCCAATGGCGGTTGACGGACGACCTTGGCTTTGGTGATATTCAAGGGAGACAAAGGTGGCCGCGCGTGGTACTGCCCACCCACCCCCACTCCTCGTGTGCCGTGCCGGCCTTCATTGGTGCTACTCGCTCATAGCACTTGGCTCAGCAGAAGTGTGCTAAGGCTGTACGGGGATATTTGTGAAAAGTTCTACAGTCTTGTCATCTCCCACAGCTCCAAGATTACGGAGCCATCGCTGCAATCCATATTTAGTCAGCTGGGAAGAGTAAGACAAAGTTCATTTTAAATCAGTGGGGTATCTCTCAATGTATCGCCCTGTTTTCGGGTGATTTCTCAAGGTTGTGGTTTATATGTTAAAGGTGGTTTCAGGTGTTGGTGGTTTTTGGTCATTGTAGGAATGAACGCTTTGTTACAATGTGACTTTTTATTAAATGGTGTATGGGCAACTTCACGAGGTTATTTTGTTTTAGCCAAATGAGAGTAAGTGAGTGCGTGAAATGGTGAGTAATTAAATCAGTGAGTGGGTGAGTGTAAGAGTGACACAATGTGAGCGAGATGGTGCATGAGTGAGTGAGATGGTGAGTGAATGAGTGATATGGTCGGTGAGTAAATCGATGGGTGCGTGAGATGGTGGGTGAGTAGGATGGTGGGTGAGTGAATGAATGAGTCGGTGAATGAGTGAGATATGCTGTGGTGAGTTAAGGGCAAAGTAAGTGAGGTGAGTTAGCATGAGATATGTTGAGATAAGATGAGGTGAATTGAGATGAGGTGAATTGAAGTGAGATGAGGTGTATGAGGATGAGATGAGTTGACATGTTAGTTGAGATGGACTTTGACCAGCCACCCCTGGCGCTCACACGTCAGCACTTTTCATACCGAAAGAACCAAAGAACAGTGCAGTACTTTACGATCACAAATACGACAAATGCACGCATTACACCGTGACCACGGGACTCCGGGAGGAGACCATCGACGACTGCCGGTCAGGCGGCTCCGAGACCTCAGACTGCAGCTGCGCCAAGCTGTTCAACGTGCGGTCGGAGGTACCGGCCAAGTACAAACACCGTCTTTTTGAGTTTACACTTCTAGAGCGCAGTTGTCAGTGCAAAACAAGACACCCCCTGCTGGGTGCTGGGAATCCTTGAGGCTGCAAACGACTTCACTGCAGATTCGTGTATCCCGGGTTCATGCTGCCTCAAGGCCGTAGCGATGGAGTCAACATTGGGGGGGACCAAATCTTCCAAGGGGTCTGGGGATCCCCCCCCCCAGAAAAAAAAAATCTAAATTTGAAAACAAATTTCCTGCCTAAAATATAAAAAAATCACTAACACATAAGATGGACTTTTTAATAATTGTTTACAATGTCTAACAGTGTATTGCATGACATTGCTGTTTTTTTCTTTTTTACCTTTTCTTGTTTCATTGTATGTAATGGCAGACATTAGGGATTAATAAAGAGTACAAGCATAACTAGAATCATATAAACAGAAATCTATTTTATAGCAATATATTGGGGGGGGACATTTTGAGCATATTTGAATATTGGATGTGTCCCCTCCCCAATATAATTACGGCCTTGTGCTGCCTCATCCCTTCACCCAAGAGTGGAGCGAGCGTGAGGGTTTGTACGACGATCGCCGCGCTATATTCTTGGTTCTTTCGGTAAAGTCACGTAGTAGGGAAATAATAAAATAGTAAAAATAATAAGCAATTTATTGTTTTATATAAAAAATATATAACAATTTATCGTATTATTATTACATAATCTAACCTATATAATTCATTTTTTGTCCGTCCGTCCGTCCGTCCGTCCGCGTACGCTCCCTACCGGGGGATTTAGCTCTCGGACCGTGGGGTTCGGCGAGATTAAATTTTGCAGGTGGGCACGCCCCCGGCCCCGCGGTAAACTTAGGCATTTCCGATTTTTCGTCTCTAAACTTTAAATCGGACCGATTATCGATTTAGTGCGATTTATCTTTTTTTATTTATTTAACGCTTTATTTATTTCGTTACTATCGCCGGCCGGCGCGGACCACGGCGGTTGCCCCTGGCAACGGGTAGCAACAACTTCGCTGCGGGGTGGACGCCATTTTGAATTCCCGTTAAAAATATGCACACGCATTAACACGCGATTCTGAGGTAAATTCATCAAAGTTTCACGTCCTCTTCACTCCCCCCCACCCCAATGTGTGCAATGACTATTATAGGGTCGGTAGATAATAAAATTATAGCGATTAGACAGTATTATTGTAGCACGGGGGGGGGGGTGTTAACGGCCCCAGCACCCAGCCTCAGCCGGGCGGGCAATCTAGGCGAGGCCGGAGGCTCTGCACGGTACTAGGCCTCGACACGCAACTCTGTCAGGCGACGACCTTGTTGTATAAACTCGATATACCCAGCGTTGCCCGGGGGAAAAATACATTTAAAATCTTCTGAAAACTTTAAAACATAACATCCCAATGAAAATACAACTGTGTAATTAAAACTCTAAACCCGACCGCGCCAAGAATCGATTCTCTGAATCGCGAAAAGGAATCGAAGGTAGTAGATTCATTTAGAATCGCCTTATTTCCGTTTAATATTAGTTGGTTATAGAGTTGATAAACTGCTACGAATGGGAAATATCCGGCGTTGACCGGGGCTAAAATATAATTAAAACTCCTGAAAACTTTAAAACATAACATAACAATGAAAATAAAACTCTGTAATTAAAAATGGAAACCTCCTATGCGCCAGGAATCGATTCTTTGAATCGCGCAAAGGAATCATCGAAGGTTGTAGATTCCTTTAGGAGCGCCCTTAACATGTGATGAGGGAGAGAGTGGTGAGGGGGAGAGCGGTGAGGTGGAGAGTGGTGAGGGGGAGAGTGGTGAGGGGGAGAGGGGTGAGGGGGAGAGTGGTGAGGGGGAGAGTGGTGAGGGGGAGAGTGGTGAGGGGGAGAGTGGTGAGGGGGAGAGTGGTGAGGGGGAGAGTGGTGAGGGGGAGAGTGGTGAGGGGGAGAGTGGTGAGGGGGAGAGGGGTGAGGGGGAGAGTGGTGAGTGAGAGAGTGGTGAGGGAGAGTGGTGGTGATGGGGAGAGTGGTGAGGGGGAGAGTGGTGAGGGGGAGAGTGGTGAGGGGGAGAGTGGTGAGGGGGAGAGTGGTGAGGGGGAGAGTGGTGAGGGGGAGAGTGGGTGGGGGAGAGTGGTGAGGGGGAGAGTGGTGAGGGGGAGAGTGGTGAGGGGGAGAGTGGTGAGGGGGAGAGTGGTGAGGGAGAGTGGTGGTGAGGGAGAGTGGTGATGGGGAGAGTGGTGAGGGAGAGAGTGGTGAGGGAGAGAGTGGTGAGGGGGAGAGTGGTGAGGGGGGAGAGTGGTGAGGGGGAGAGTGGTGAGGGGGAGAGTGGTGAGGGGGAGAGTGGTGAGGGGGAGAGTGGTGAGGGGGAGAGTGGTGAGGGGGAGAGTGGTGAGGGGGAGAGGGGTGAGGGGGAGAGTGGTGAGGGGGAGAGTGGTGAGGTGTAGAGTGGTGAGGTGTAGAGTGGTGAGGTGTAGAGTGGTGAGGTGTAGAGTGGTGAGGTGTAGAGTGGTGAGGGGAGAGGGAGAGTGGTGAGGGGGAGAGTGGTGAGGGGGAGAGTGGTGAGGGGAGAGTGGTGAGGGGGAGAGTGGTGAGGGGGAGAGTGGTGAGGGGGAGAGTGGTGAGGGGGAGAGTGGTGAGGAGGAGGAGAGTGGTTGAGGGGGAGAGTGGTGAGGGGGAGAGTGGTGAGGGGGAGAGTGGTGAGGGGGAGAGTGGTTGAGGGGGGAGAGTGGTGAGGGGGAGAGTGGTGGTGGTGTGGGTGAGTGGTGAGGGTGAGGTTGAGTGGTGAGGGTGAGGTTGAGTGGTGAGGGTGAGGTGAGTGGTGAGGTGAGGTTGAGTGGTGAGGGTGAGTGGTGATTGGTGAGGGTGAGTGGGGAGGGTGAGTGGTGGTTGTTAGTGGTGATTAGTGAGGGGTGAGTGGTGAGGGTTAGTGGTGAGCATGAGTGGTGAGGGTGAGTGTTGAGCGTGAGTGGCGAGGATGAGTGGTGATTGTTGAGGGTGTGATTGGTGAGGATGAGTGGTGAGTAGTGAGGGTGAGTGGTGAGGGTGAGTGGTGAGTGGTGAGGGTGAGTGGCGGTTGTGAGTGGTGATTAGTGAGGGGTGAGTGGTGAGGGTGAGTATGAGTGGTTAGGGTGAGTGGTGAGGGTGAGCAGTGAGGGTGAGCAGTGAGGGTGAGTGGTGATTGGTGAGGGTGTGATTGGTGAGGATGAGTGGTGAGTGGTCAGGGTGAGTGGTGAGGGTGAGTGGTGAGCGGTGAGGGTGAGTGTTGAGGGTGAGTGGTGAGTGGTTAGGGTGAGTGGTGAGCGTGAGTGGTGAGTGGTGAGCGTGACTGGTGAGGGAGAGTGGTGAGGGAGAGTGGTGAGGGAGAGTGGTGAGGGTGAGTGTTGAGGGTGAGTGGTGAGTAGTGAGGGTGAGTGGTGAGAGTGACTGGTGAGTGGTGAGGGTGAGTGGTGAGGGAGAGTGGTGAGGGAGAGTGGTGAGGGAAAGTGGTGAGGGTGAATGGTGAGGGTGAGTGGTGAGGGTGAGTGGTGAGGGTGAGTGGTGATTGGTGAGGGTGAGTGGTGAGGGTGAGTGGCAGTTGTGAGTGGTGATTAGTGAGTGGTGAGGGTGAGCGTGAGTGGTGAGGGTGAGGTTGAGTGGTGAGCGGTGAGGGTGAGTGGTGATTGGTGAGGGTGCGATTGGTGAGGATGAGTAGTGAGGGTGAGTGGTTGTTGTGAGGGTGAGTGGTGAGGGTGAGTGATGAGGGTGAGTGGTAAGAGTGAGTGGTGAGGGTGAGTGACGGTTGTGAGAGGTGATTAGTGAGGGGTGAGTGGTGAGGGTGAGCGTGAGTGGTGAGGGTGAGTGGTGAGGGTGAGCAGTGAGGGTGAGCAGTGAGGGTGAGTGGTGATTGGTGAGGGTGTGATTGGTGAGGATGAGTGGTGAGTGGTCAGGGTGAGTGGTGAGGGTGAGTGGTGAGCGGTGAGGGTGAGTGTTGAGGGTGAGTGGTTAGGGTGAGTAGTGAGGGTGAGTGGTGAGCGTGAGTGGTGAGTGGTGAGCGTGACTGGTGAGGGAGAGTGGTGAGGGAGAGTGGTGAGGGAGAGTGGTGATTGGTGAGGGTGAGTGGTGAGGGTGAGTGGGGAGGGTGAGTGGCGGTTGTTAGTGGTGATTAGTGAGGAGTGAGTGGTGAGGGTGAGCGTGAGTGGTGAGGTTGAGTGGTGAGCAGTGAGGGTGAGTGGTGATTGGTGAGGGTGTGATTGGTGAGGATGAGTGGTGAGGGTGAGTAGTGAGGGTGAGTGGTTGTTGTGAGGGTGAGTGGTTGTTGTGAGGGTGCGTGGTGAGGGGGAGTGGTAAGAGTGAGTGGTGAGGGTGAGTGACGGTTGGGAGAGGTGATTAG